CCCCAGCTGATAGAAATCATTACACGTAGAATTAATTAAACCGTAAAGCATAGTTACTCTAGGCTACAAAATCAAATAGATTTGCAGTTTTATTACAAAAGCCACAGCCACATCTCATACTGCAAAATGGAATAAGTCATCCTTTCCAACCATGTACTGATTGCAGTAGTAATTCTTTACATAAATAACCCAAGGGATATTGGAAGTCACTTTGGTCTCGAAAGCTCGAGCAGTCACTTTAAGAGCTTGTATATTTCAATTAAAAAGAGTTAGGTACAACATAAATCAACCTACTGACTGCAATGAAAATAAATATGACAGGTCATATATTTGATATAGGCACAAAATGATCTTTATACAGCACATTTGTTTGTGAGACTCCTGATGTAGATGAAGAAATGCCATTTCCTGGGATTGGTCATCATCAGCAAAATGTCCATCCAAAATGTCAACAACAGCATAAAAGTTCCACCCAGTAAAACACCGAAGTCAGCAATGCGTAATTTTCTGTGCCTCTAGGGTATTCCCTGAGGGATGTGTGCCTGCTGATGTCGACAGCCTAGCGCGTCATCGTTTTTCTGCCCTTGCCATTCTCATCTTGGCAGATTTCGATTCTCCCATGTCATACATTTCGTCAAAGATATCGTCGAAGTTCACATCATCGGTTGGAACATCAACAGGAACCGACTGCGTGCATACCATTGCTGCTGGACTCGAATCCAATTTCAATCCTGTAAATCACGTTTAATCATATTCGATGTCGTCTTGTTCAGAGTCGACGTCGTGATCGAAATCTATGAAGTTCGGATCTTACTCACAATCTGCCATAAAAGCAAAGCACATTAAGCAAGAGTACATGCAATTAATCAAAATTTAAACCAACATTTAGCCAAACACCAATTTCCCAAAGCATTTTGCGCAAGTATTATCCCAAGTGATGCAAGTTCAGTGATATTTGAAGTAAATAAATGGAGAAACACTCAGAAAAGCTTAAAGGATTAACTTGGAACGCTAGTATGATGACAATAAGGCCTCAAAACATATATAGGAAATTACAGTCAGGTAAATTGAATCAGAGCTTCAAGTTCGAACAATGTAGACTTGTACTTGTTTTTGGAAAGTTCGCTCCTGTTTTATTGTTTTTGAAACATTAGATCAAACTTGATTTTGAGCTGTGCCTGGCTATCTATAACAGTAGTATAAGCAGCACCATAAGTTCCACAATTTCCTCAAAAACATTAACATACAAAAGAAGGAAACTGGAATTCATAAACTCCTAAATTAATGAGGCTGTTGGTTACCCCCTGATTTACATTGTGCACTTGCCGCTCTCATTTTGGCAGATTCCACCTCCCCCGAATTCAGAAGATATAGAAACAAAAATTTGAGTTGCTGATGCCTTCAAGAATGGTCGGCAATGGCGAATTGTTCGTTCACAAACTTCGCGACACAGAATTGAGGATTACGGTTCATTGCTTCGCGACATAGAGCAGAGAACTTTGGGGGAAATGGATAGCACGCTGAAGGGTTTGATTTGGAATCCGTTGGAAATGTAGCGCCAGAGATGCAGTGCCTTAGATGTCGCCATCGGAGATTAGGAATTTGGTGGCCTCAATTCAATTTGGAGGAAACGAGGTTTAGTATCTCCCTAAGAAGGCGTGTTTGGCTACATGGACTTCCACTTAAGCACTTAACAGTCCACGTAGATATTCCGTTGTCTAGCTGGCTAGATTTATAGACAGATTTAAGAGTAATGTTATTCATCCCCAGTGGGAATGAAAACACAGTCTAAGTGGCTATAAATGATAGGTGAAATGAAAGGTGAAATTAAATGACTTATTTAATTTCACCTATCATTTAATGTCACATTAGCGCTACCTAGACTGTGTTTTCATCCTCAGTGGGGATGAATAGCATTACTCCAGATTTAAATGGGTGAGTAACTGAGTACAACGGAGATAAGTTTAATGGCCATTGAGACGATTTCTAAAGTTCGGTGGGTAATCCATGACGAAATGTAAAGTTCGTTGGCCAATGAAACATTTAACTTGGAAATTTTCACTATTGATTAAGTTCAAGTCCCATCCTATTTGCAATGAGGGTCCTTCAACTTTCATTCTCTACATCTTGGTTCCCATCGTCCATAATTTGTTTTGTTTTACTCATTTTCATCTGATTTTCTCTCTGCTTCTTCATAAGTCATCCAACACGAGTCTCTCCTAAAGCAATTGATATACAACCAAAATTAAGTATAAATTAAGCCCTTGATTGATGACCATTATAAAGAGAAATTAAGGCAAATGATATTTTGAATAGTAATTTTTTCAAGAACGTGTAATTAAAAAGTAAGGAAAAAATTTAAATTCACGTGCATAACATTTTAGTACGTGAACGCATGATTAAAAATGAATAAAAGAAATAAAAAGTTTTAATTTAAAGAGGGTCAACTAAATACAACTACTTATTTTGCATAAACACCTTATTTTTAATATATATACTTTACGTAATCCAATATAATATACAACATAACTGTTATTCCCCTTATTTTAAAGGATCTCATATTATCTTTCCAAATTGATGAGCATATGTTACTCAATTTTTAAAAATAATGAATGTACCAAAGGGAAAGGGGCATCGCCATAACACTGCCATTGGCGTCATTGAGCCTCCTTCGACCTTATTATTCAGGCTCATAGTCAAAATTCTTGCCAGTTTTGATGCAGGAGGATTCGACGAGGTCGAACTGTCTAATAGTACGTTGATGTCGCTGAAATACCATGAGTTGGCGGATCGGCGCAAAATTGACAAATAATCATCGACATTTCCTAATTGTGGCCCTTTTTTGGACACGTTTCGGTATTTTGACCATAATTTTGGCTACAGTTATAGAATCACGCTCATGACCCCAATTTGGAAAGCTCTTTCAGTGCGCATGTCATGGTAACCCAGCTATGCTCGGTGTGCATCGATTTCGAGGTCAAATTCAGCTGTTTTCCCTTTTTAATCATCAATTTAAGTTATTTTTTTTGCCATTTTTAGTAAT